TCATCTGCACAACCCTAACTCTTTTACACTTGAAGGGATTATAAGATAGTTATCCTGCCATTTATTAATATTAATATTAATATTAATAATGATAACATTATTATATTGTTATTTTTAATTTATTGTGAGATTATGACAGGATCATTTAGTGAAAGACGAACTCATGTGGTGAGGTATTAAAAGATCCCTCTTTCATTCTCATTGTTTTTAGGAAGGTTTACATACATACCCACTCAATTCCCACGTATTTACATATTTGATGTCTAAACTTTAAGTTTTACATACATATATGTATTTCACTTTTTTTAAATTAAAATGGTTGTATTTTGACGCATTATGAAAGATTTGGGTGTTATAAATGTAAGAAGCAAAGTTTAGGTGTTAGATATGTAAATACATAGGAATTGGTTGGTATATATGTAAATGCTCTTTTTTATCTTCTTGAGCCTTGCTTCTCTTTTATTGTAGATCATAGTCTCTGTTTAGGATCAGTTGCTAACAGTCTCTTTTACTTGTTTACTGGTGTTAACCACTTAATACAAGCAGTATTTGATTTCTATGGAGATTTTTGGTGGTATACCATAAATTGAATGGCTTATCTTAAGATGGATTTTTCCTTGAAGAGCATGAAATTGTACTTAAGTCATTAATAATCTGGACGCAGTTCCTTGTTCTATCTTTTTGATAAATAATTAGGAAGCTCCAAGTTGACATGAAGTTATCTTTTGGATAAATTATTGGGAAACTCCAAGTTTATATGAAATATAGTCCGATCCATTTTTTACTCTCGACGGTAATAGCATAAAGTTATTTTTGATGAGATTGTAGAAGAGAAAAGGATTGGGAATGAAATTTTGCAGTTGCTAGTCAAAAGAGCTTCAGAAATGTTCAGAAAGTGCGATTTTTAGTAGGACTTTGCAAATGGCTGGTTCGGTCAGATTAATTGAAAAAATTATCAAACCAAGTAAACCAAACTAAATAATAAGCAAAACTAAGCTGATCAAATAAGACAGAACCAAACTAAACCAAACCGAATTATAATTTGGTTTATTAGGTTCAGTTTGGTTCGACCGAATTTTGAAATCCTAATGAAGATGTGTGTACTCTGTCAATTCGGATTTATCATTAGGATTTGAGGACAAAATTCAGTGGACCTAATATCGTTGGACCTATTATAAAATTCAGTGGACCTACTATAAAATTCAGTTCATTTTGATAAGACTTAGAGTTCAGTTTTGTTCCACCGGATTTGTCCTCAATAATGATATAATCTGGTTGTTTCCACTGGATTTATTTGTTAATGGATTTATTTTAACTAATATAATCTGGTTGTTTTACTTGAACCAAATTTTTTTTATTGTTTCAAATTGAACCAGCAACCGAAATCTAAATAACTCTTAAATTGGAAGAAAAAATGTACTGTGATTTTATCAACCGAATCAACTCAATCAAATATGCTTCGGGTCGGATCGGTTTAAACCAATGAATGTACACTCCCAGGTTTTAGAGGACAACAATAACCTTCTTCTATTAGATTTTCCTCAGTTTGGTAGTAGGTCTCTCATACAATTAGTACGATCTGTGACTGTGACGTTACCATTTTTTTAAAATTTGTTTCAACATTTAGTACTTCTGATTTCGCTCTCAAAATTTCATGCTATAGAACCAAGGGAATATAATAGAACCGATCAACCTTCATTTTTTACCCCTGCTTAATTCTTTATTTGTATTTTTTATTAAAATTTTGAGGGAATCTGATGCTCCTCCTGAACCAGTACCAGTCGTCATTCATTTGTAAATTGTTTCCCAGAATAATCAAATTAACCATTGCAACTTTCACCAATGATCATATTTCCTGAAGTGATCATATTTTCTGAAATGTTTTTAGTCTATTACATTATTTTGTTAGTAGTTTTCTAGTAACTTATTGGCTATTTAATGATAATGTGCTAGCATTTGTCATTACTCTTGTAAGTATTAATGTATATTTATATACATATCTTGAAGTATGTGTGACATTTTTTAGATGAATAAAATTGCCGTTGATATAAATTCCCTTCGAATTTAATTCTATCTTCCTATAGATATCTTCATGGACCTTTTGTGCTAAAACAGAATCTATCTGGACTAAGTTTCATTCTTTTGAGGGCCAAAAACAATGGAGATGAAAAGTAACAAAGATTGATTCAATTTTATATGTTGCATAGTATATTTTGAAATCCATTTGGAAAGACAGCATCTCTGGCCTTTTGAAAGGATTGCACAATATCTGAGCTTCTGAATGTGGACCATTGGGCTTGTTCTTCAGCATATGGTCCAGATGAATTAATTAGTAAAAAGGCTCCCTTATTTGAATATTCTATTCAATTAGGGCTTGTTTGGGATCAACTTTGTTTTTTATGTTTAAAAATATGTTTATTTAGTGCATTTGTTTATATATTTTTTATTTTTAAAAACAAATTAACGTATTTTTAAAAATGCTTAAAATAATTTTTAGTTGTTTTGAGTTTATTAAAAAATTATATATTTTAATCAAATAGTGAATTATTTTTTGTTTGGAATTAAAATATAAACAAAACAAAATAGAATTAAGAAAATAAAAATCAAAGGTGATCCTAAACAATCCCTTAATATATTGGACTCGCTAAAACTGGCTGCTTAGTTGAGCAGTATTAACAGTTACACCTAGGATTATTGAATAGTTTCTATGTAACATTTGAGCCTCGACTAATTTGAGATTAAGTTGGCTTCAATTAAAAATTATTTCGTGAAAACACTTTAAATTGTTATGAATGACAACTAATAAGTGAAGGCTTCTCACCTCAACATGGTCGCTGCACTTATTGATATAAAGCATTTACAAATTATTTTTATGCCATTTGTATCTTGCATACATTCTTCTTAATTTGTTTTTTTGGTGGTTCTTCAATTTAGAGGTGGTTTGCACCACTATTCTGAAAAGCACATAACTCATTCCTTCTTGATGCTTTATTTTTTGATGTTGAACTAGAATTCTGAGTGCAACAAATTCACATTCCACAGTTATAGATTTTCATCTGCACAACCCTAACTCTTTTACACTTGAAGGGATTATAAGATAGTTATCCTGCCATTTATTAATATTAATATTAATATTAATAATGATAACATTATTATATTGTTATTTTTAATTTATTGTGAGATTATGACAGGATCATTTAGTGAAAGACGAACTCATGTGGTGAGGTATTAAAAGATCCCTCTTTCATTCTCATTGTTTTTAGGAAGGTTTACATACATACCCACTCAATTCCCACGTATTTACATATTTGATGTCTAAACTTTAAGTTTTACATACATATATGTATTTCACTTTTTTTAAATTAAAATGGTTGTATTTTGACGCATTATGAAAGATTTGGGTGTTATAAATGTAAGAAGCAAAGTTTAGGTGTTAGATATGTAAATACATAGGAATTGGTTGGTATATATGTAAATGCTCTTTTTTATCTTCTTGAGCCTTGCTTCTCTTTTATTGTAGATCATAGTCTCTGTTTAGGATCAGTTGCTAACAGTCTCTTTTACTTGTTTACTGGTGTTAACCACTTAATACAAGCAGTATTTGATTTCTATGGAGATTTTTGGTGGTATACCATAAATTGAATGGCTTTTCTTAAGATGGATTTTTCCTTGAAGAGCATGAAATTGTACTTAAGTCATTAATAATCTGGACGCAGTTCCTTGTTCTATCTTTTTGATAAATAATTAGGAAGCTCCAAGTTGACATGAAGTTATCTTTTGGATAAATTATTGGGAAACTCCAAGTTTATATGAAATATAGTCCGATCCATTTTTTACTCTCGACGGTAATAGCATAAAGTTATTTTTGATGAGATTGTAGAAGAGAAAAGGATTGGGAATGAAATTTTGCAGTTGCTAGTCAAAAGAGCTTCAGAAATGTTCAGAAAGTGCGATTTTTAGTAGGACTTTGCAAATGGCTGGTTCGGTCAGATTAATTGAAAAAATTATCAAACCAAGTAAACCAAACTAAATAATAAGCAAAACTAAGCTGATCAAATAAGACAGAACCAAACTAAACCAAACCGAATTATAATTTGGTTTATTAGGTTCAGTTTGGTTCGACCGAATTTTGAAATCCTAATGAAGATGTGTGTACTCTGTCAATTCGGATTTATCATTAGGATTTGAGGACAAAGTTCAGTGGACCTAATATCGTTGGACCTATTATAAAATTCAGTGGACCTACTATAAAATTCAGTTCATTTTGATAAGACATAGAGTTCAGTTTTGTTCCACCGGATTTGTCCTCAATAATGATATAATCTGGTTGTTTCCACTGTATTTATTTGTTAATGGATTTATTTTAACTATAATATAATCTGGTTGTTTTACTTGAACCAATTTTTTTTTATTGTTTCAAATTGAACCAACAACCGAAATCTAAAAAACTCTTAAATTGGAAGAAAAAATGTACTGTGATTTTATCAACCGAATCAACTCAATCAAATATGCTTCTTGTCGGATCGGTTTAAACCAATGAATGTACACTCCCAGGTTTTAGAGGACAACAATAACCTTCTTCTATTAGTTTTTCCTCAGTCTGGTAGTAGGTCTCTCATACAATTAGTACGATCTGTGACTGTGACGTTACCATTTTTTTAAAATTTGTTTCAACATTTAGTACTTCTGATTTCGCTCTCAAAATTTCATGCTATAGAACCAAGGGAATATGATAGAACTGATCAACCTTCATTTTTTACCCCTGCTTAATTCTTTATTTGTATTTTTTATTAAAATTTTGAGGGAATCTGATGCTCCTCCTGAACCAATACCAGTCGTCATTCATTTGTAAATTGCTTCCCAGAATAATCAAATTAACCATTGCAACTTTCACCAATGATCATATTTCCTGAAGTGATCATATTTTCTGAAATGCCCAGATTTTCATCACAAACCCACTTTACATTTCTCGTCTTTTTTCTAACTGATATCTACTACAGTGGGAGGCTGCTGAGGAATCTAGCCGATGCAACCGACCACGGCGATTTCCTATCATTGCAGCAGGTCATCTACGATGTGCTCGGCTTCTCCGTTGCCTTGGCCACCACCGTAGCCATCACCATTTACGCCAAGCGGACTCTCCAAACTCTTCAGATTGAGGACAAAATCCATCAGAACTGCCATCCTGAACTCTAAAACCAGCACTTCTAACTTCCATCCATCGCTGTCAAAATTAACTGGTTTATTTGCGAAGTCTGGTTCATTATTCCACATCGAGGTATATTCGAGATTTCTCTTTTGATCTGCAAAATTTTTTGGTCACCAATTTAATACTTGAAAGAGGAAAAGGGAAGAAGGGATATGGCTGGCAACTGGTTGATTAACAACTTTTTACATGACATGGAAGATGCATTGAATATTGTATAAGTGTCAATTTTAGCTTTTATTAGTTAGTTGTAGGGAGGTATTTTATTAATATCACAGGAGGCACATGGAATGATTCCATTTGCACCAATTTTATAGCCAAAATTGAACAGAAGTAGTTCAGAATTTGCAATCATTAATTAAGCTACATTTTATATTTGGATTGGTTATATGTTATTGTGGAATATGGCTTTATCTTAAATTGCTTCCACCTGCAATCACTACTATTTAAAATTTTAAAATAAATGTAAAGCTTATGTTATTCCTGTTGTTGTACTTCTTGTTGAAATTTAATATTTATAAATTTTTATTTTATTTCATGCTCTGTTCTAAAAATATTCTACATTTTGCATTTGCTTCCCTTAATCATGTTTGATGCTTTACATAGATTTGGGTGTTATAAATGTAAAGAAGTATAGTTTAAGTGTTAGATGTGTAAATACATAGGAACTCGGTGGTGTTTATGTAAATGCCCTAAGTGCTTTAGTTGAAATTGAAGATTTTGATTCGGCCGAGCGTCTTATTAATTTAATAAGATCTTTTAGGGTATGTTTGGGGCATCTGCAGCTTAATGAATAATGGTTAAGTTAGGTGCGACGACTCTTACAAATTTTTATTTTTTTGGAAAAAACAGACCGCTGCAAGAAAGCTGACACCCCACCTAGATAGGTAAGGTGTGAAATCGCTGTTGGTAGCGTTTTTAAAACGCATAAGCTGCCAAAAAGCAGTTCACCGAAACAGTCCAGGTGCGTTTTCAAAACGCCACTGCGCCAAATAAGTTATCCCAAACAGACCCTTAATGAATTAAATTGTGATATGACTTGATGATAGTCATTTTGAAATGCTTGAAGCATGATATAAACAAATATAAATGTGTCAATCTATATACTGGTTTCATAATTATGCAACATATTACGTATTTTTTTATTATACTGTTTGGTAAAATAAGTTGTCAAAAGTAATATTGATTAAAAATACTAATTTTTTTAATAAGTATGATTAATGATTAAAAATATTTAATTACTATTAATATAAAACGGCTCGAAATTAAGCATTATTGCTTAGTTGTCTGTTGATTTTAAGGCTTTATATATTTGTTTGGCGAGTTGAAAAATCAATGGGTGGACTTATCAGTTGGCTCGAGGGCCCTTCAATTATTTTATGGTTGCTTTCCATTGGATTTAATAAATCAAAGCTATTCTTCCTTAAAAATTTTTCTACAATCAATAGCCTCTCCAAATTTCCCTAAGAATGTGTTTGGTGTTTATCCAGCCTTTTAGTGTCACTTTTATTTTATTTTAATTTATATTATTATATATTTTGACTTACAATTAAATATATTTAATGCTTAAAAATATATATATATATTATTTTTATTGAATTTTGAATAAATTAATTTATGTGGTGATGATGTTAGCTATTTTATTTTTATTGAATTTTCAATAAATTAATTTATGTGGTGATGATGTTAGCTCAATATTTTTATTGAATTTTGAATAAATTAATTTATGTGGTGATGATGTTAGCTCAACAAGGGGTGTAATTGAGCTATGGCTAGTGTTCAACTCGATAAGTAGGCCATGAACTGAGTTTGATGAGCTAACAAGCAGAATTCAAACTAATTAAAATAATAATTAATATAAAATATATTTAAAATATATTAAAATTCAAAATTATTAAAAAAATTAAAAAAATAGTATTTTATAATTTATATTAAACACTTATTATTATTTATCTCATAATTATTCATTTTATTTGACATTATAACAGTATTTTGAATTAATATTATTTTTTTTAAAAAAAATAATCAAATCAACATATGAGCCATCTCAAACTCAGATTAAAGCTTGAGCTTGACTTGATGTTTACACCCCTAGCGGCAATCAATAAGTGTGCGTTTATCTCTGTCAAGCAATGGTTAGGGACAAGCAATAGTTGGCACTCGTTGACAACTAGCAACGATAAAAAAATTTTAAATACTAAAAATATCTAAAAATTATTTAATTAAATAATTTTTAAAAAGTGTGAACTTTATTTTTTTTGGGAGAAAATGTGAGGGTCACACCCACCTTTATTAAGAAAAAAGAAAGATATACAAAAAAAAGATAACCAAATACAACTCATACGACCAAGAAAATCAAAAAAGATAAAAGTAGAACCAAATAACAAACAACACATAGTTGAAAATAAAAAACACAACTTTAACATCACTTCAAAGCATGAACGTTCCGAAAGAGAAAAAAGTACTTCAACAACGAGTAGCCCCGTAAAGAAAGACAAACAAAGACAATAGAATCAACAAACTACCAAAATATGAAGAAAGCGATAATAATCACAACAAAAACAGAAGAAAGTAAAACCAGCTTTCAGAACTTAACTGCAAATAAATATTTTAATTTCTTCCTCAAATATTGAATATATAAAAATATATTCAATAAATGGTTGATTTATAATAAGGTTTGAATTCATCATAGATCAATACCAATCACAACATCTAGCCAAGATCATACAATAATAGTAAAAAAAAAAAAAAAACAAAACCAATAACATCATAAAGCCAAAATCAGACAGTAAACAAAGATACATATATTACGATTAATTCAAAGATACACCACAAACCTAAGCAACTTAATAAATCAAAACAAACAGAAAAACTAAGCAGCGAAAATGATAAGTAAAAACAAACCAAAATAGATTGAAAAAAACCAAAAGTAACAGAAGAAACCAAAAAACTCAAAGAGCCCAAATAGATCAACAACAAAAAAATTAAAAGAGAATGAGAGAAATTAAATTTTATAAAACTAAACAAAATAATTAGGAAGAGAATTCCTAAATTTCACTTTCCTACTCTTATAAGAAATTGACCAATGAATGTGGCGAATATTAGAATCATAGGCAACCATATGTTAACCCAAAAGATAAAATCATGTTATTATCATAATTTTTAGGAAACATATTAGAATAAGGACTTTCAAAAAAGAGGTGATCATGAGATTCCAAATCATTTAAACGTAAAACACAAGTAAGAATGATATGCTTATCTCTTGAAAACAAAACATCACAAGTTTTAAGGCCTTTAATAATAAATTTCCAAATATTAATCAGATATTAAAAAAAAACCATAAACCAAACTAGCTTAAACTAATTATCCTGAGGATAAGTGACATAAAAAAAAAAAAAATCTTTATGATCTTTATGAGAAAAGGTAGTACTACTCTTATTCCAAATACATGTAAGACCATTCAAAATAAGAATCATCCTAATATAATCAATACAACAAATAAGAGCTTGCTGATTTTGAAGCAAATTCCAACAATTATTTTGAACAATATCTGTAAGCTTAAAATTTAGAGGAAAATTAAATGAATTAAAGACCGAATCACCAAATTTATCCAAAAGAGAAACATTTTCTAACCAAGGGTCAAAATAAAAAGCCATATTGTAATTTTTAGTTACATGAAAACTTCATACTTGAGTTTAGTAGCAATTTTAACAAGTTCTTTATAAAAAGGAGAATACATAGAAGTAGCCTTTTGCCACAAAAAAATCATAATGATTAAAAATCCAATTACTCAAATAAGTTTGTAAATTATAATTGTTCCATAGGATTTTTATTTTGCACATTTAATGTATAAAATCAAGAATAGACAATCCTAACCCACCATTCTGAATAAACATATTGATTTTATTCAAAGAAATAGTATGAAGTTTCTTGTTTTCATTATTATTTTTTTTAAAAGAGATCTTCTTCCTCAGAGCTTTAGGTGATAAGGAAGACTGTAGACAATAATAAAGATAGCTCCAAATAAAAAATTTGAGAAGTTAAAATCTGCCATTAGTCGATAATAATTTTATTTTCCAACCAGCAAGCAAAGAATTAATTATATCAATCAATTTATGACAATTAGAAATAACCTGCTTCAAAGGTTTAATAGTGAAACCAAGATAATCCAAAGATAAATATTTAATAGAAAAGACATAAATTACTAAGAACATTTTGAAGATTAGCATCAACGCTTTTAGAGAAAACAATGACAGATTTAGAAAAATTTATATTAAGATTCTAAGTCTTAGAGAGATTATTAAGAACATTGATAATCAAATTAATATGATTAGAATCAGCTTTTCTAAAAATAAGAATATTATCTACATAGATCAGATAACTAATATAATCATTTCTAGCCAATTGATTATCAATCAAAAGAGAAAGAGAGTCCATAACAATAGCAAAAAGAAAAGGTGTTAAATGACAACCTTGCCTAAGACCAACAAAAGAAGAAAATAACATTTTAAATGAATATTAATAATAGCAAAAAAGTGAACATCCAAAGTACAAGCAACAATCCAATTTATAAATTTAATAGGAAAACTCATATGATTTAATCTAAAATACAAAAAGTCTTTATTATCTTTGTCAAAAGCTTTATGAATATCAACCATAACACAAAATGTTTTCATGCTACTACAAGAATTAAAACCATAAAGTAATTAATTTACTAATATGGTATTATCACTAATATCAAGACCAATAATAAAAACGACATGGGTAGGATGACTAATCTTAGATAGAGTATATTTAAATCTGTCAGCAAACAAAATATTAGTAATTTTATAAAAGATATTAAATAAGGAAATATGACGAAAGTCTAAAAAAGCTTAACATTAACACTTTTAGTTAATGCCGCAATAGTCATATACTTTACCCTATGAGGAAGCATAGAAGTAACAAAAAAAATGATTAACGACTAAAATACAATCATTTCCAACAATATCCTAGGTATCTTTAAAAAAATTAAAATAAAAACCATTCGAACCTCGGTTTTATTAGAACTAATAGAGAATAATGCTTTTTTCATATCTTCATTTGAAAATCATTGGTTCAGTAAAGAAATATCTTCATAAGACAAAAATTTTTTATAGATTTCATCTCCTAAAAGATGATTAATATTAATAAGATCATTAAACAAATCAGAATAAAATAAATAGCTTTCTTAATTATATTCTCATGATTATGAATGAAGCTGCCATCAACCAAAACTTAATAAAATTAGGATTCTGTCAAAATCTAGTTTTTTGATAAAGAAATTTAACATCATCCTCACCTTTACATAACCAAGAACATTTAGCTCTTTATTTAGCACATTTATACGCGCAATAATTGGCATTAGAGATATTCTTTTGAATAGAAAAAGCTTGTTCCATAATTAGAAAGAGGCAAATTTTCTAACTGAATCATAATTTTATTCTGCTGATATTTAAGTTAAGAAATATAAGAAAATAAAAATGTAGAAGAATTCCAATACCAATTTTGAAGAGCCATTTTAACATTACGAAGCTTGTTATGAAAAGAAAAATAGGATCACCTTTCACAAGAATTTTTTAAGCCTTATTAACAATGTTAAAAAAAGTTAGGACAAAAAACTCTAATAGTTTTTCTACAAAAATCTACAATGCACATCATAAAAATTACCTAAAGAGACTAAAATAGGATGATGATTAGAAGAGTAAGCATTTACAACTTTACAATAAGAATGGAGAAGAGAATCAAACCATTAAGCATTGCAAATGGCTCTATCAAGGAGAAATCTTATAGGGTTATTCAATTAAATGTTAAAACCAACTATAAGAATAGACAAAATTCTGAAGCTCAATAAGAATATATTTTAAAATACAATTATCAACATCATAGAGATTACTAGGCAGAGGAGAAACACCCCCACTTTCTCATAAATTCTAAGAATACAATTAAATCCTACAAGAATGATCCAAAGAGAAGTTAAATTATTAGTAATATTTCCAATAAAATTCAATAAACTCTTCCTAACATAAGCATTATTGTTTGCATAGATAGCTGTCACAATAAAGTTAATAGAAGAAGAGAGAAAAAAACCATGGATAAATTAAGCATCCACATCAATAACCATAAAATTCAAACAATCTTGATTCCATTTAATCCAAATCCGCCCATTATCAGCAAGTTGAAAATTGACCACACTTCCTTCATGAGGAAAAATTTTGAAATGAGCTAAAAACAGAGAATCAAATAATAAAGAATAATTTAATTTAGTTTCTAAAAGACAAAAAATCAAATTTAAAATTCTTAAAATATTTTTGCAGTCAACTAGACTAGATTCACTATTAAACTTCCTCACATTTTAAACAACCTATTTAGGAAAAAAACATCGAAGAATCAAAGATTAAACAACAAAATCATAGATCATTTAGATCTACCCTTCTTGCTTCTCATGGAAACATTTGAAGTAGAGACATTACTAATAGGAACATTTTTGATAATGTCTACATCACTAGAAATAAGAAAATTATTCACAGCCATAACACTGCCTTGAGAAATATAATTAATAACAGCTTCATAGTTAACATTAACAGAATTATCCTAAATAGAAAAGCTGTTAGAAGGAATAAGATCCTGCAAAACATCAGTATTACCATTGACATCATCAACAACATTATTCTGAGTAGAAACATTCAAAGTATTCTCCTCCAAAACAAAATTAGGAGGATTTAAAACAACATTATTCACATCATCAATATTAACAATATTATTCACAGAGTTATTAATATCAACAATAGAAACATGACTAACAGATTGAATAGCAGTAGGAATAAAAGAATCACAAGGAGAAATAAAAGTTGAGTTAAGAAGCTGAAATTTATTAGGTCCATGAGAAGACCTAATGAAATTAAAAGAACTACCATGATTTCTAATATTTCCCACTTTATTTGGTCTAGACTGATTACTTCCTCTTAAATTTGAATCAACAACAACAAGTAAAGAAGAAGATTTCGGGCAGTTAGAGAGATTGTGAAAAAAAGTAGAACAAACAACACAAGGGACTAGCTTCCATTCATAAATAACATGGATACCATATTCTTTATTTTTGAAAACAATAGTAATATAGTTAGGAAGCGGTGAATCTATACTGATTTTAATATTTACCATTGCAAACAAAAGTTCAAACATTTAGCCGTCAAAGAGTCAACCCCAAGAGGAATACTAATCTTACTAGCAATTTTTAAAATCCCATTTTCAGTGCAACAGAACAACAGAAGATTTGAGAATTTAACCCAAATGGGAATTTCCTTAAAATCTTTCGAACAGGCTTAAAATCGACAGTCCATTTTTCAAAGATGAAAGATTTTTCACTGATAAAACAAATAGCAAATAAAACCATTTTCAAGATCCTCCAGACAAGTAAATTTAAAAATAAAGAATCCCTTGGAAAGAGATTGAAGATCCACCATACATTTCAGTTTCCAAATCTTACCAATTGACTGAGAAGATTCTCGTAAAAAGGACTTTTGCCTAAAGTATACCCAACCAACATAAGATCCCAAGGTTTTGAACCATCCTCAACCTCATCATCTCAGAAAGTGATCTTATCATCTACGAGTAAGAAAGATCAAACCCACCAAAGTTAGAGAGATTATCAGTAACTAAGCCTCAAACTTAATGGTTGCAATGGGGAGTAGAGAGCGGAGAGGTGCAGTAAAAGAAGCCAAAAATTGAAAAAAAATGAAGGGGCTAAGACCTTAAAACTTGAATCGAGATTAGAATATAGAAAAAAAAGACATATATTAGAGAAATTTCCCAAAAGAGAGGAAAAAATCACGAAAAAATCGCTAAAGCTTGAAAACCCTTATTCACTTGACAATTACAAAAAAAAAAAAAAAAAGCTTTAAAAAAAAGCAAGAAAAAAAAGTTTCCAAAGAAGATTAGCTTGCTATTAAAACTTATAAGATTTACATACACACCCCTCACATCTAACACAAAAGCTTTAATTTTTACATATAAGGCACTACCTATATATGAAAAATGTATTTAAACTTTTAAAAGTTAAAAATATTCTATTTTTTATGTGATACAAAAGATTTGGTTGGTATGTATGTTAAAAATTAAAGTTTATGAATTAGATATGTAAATAAATAAGAAATGATTAGTATGTATATAAATGTCTCTTAAACTTTTTCTTTTGCCCGTTTGACAAAATACCCTGTATAATTGACAAAATTGATGAGATCTTTATATGTTAATAGATATGATTTGAGAGTCTTAGGGTCAGTTTAGGGTAGCTTATTTGGTGTGGTTATTTTTTGAAAACGCACCTGACCTGTTTGGGCAAACTATATTTTGGAAGCTTATGAGTTTTCTAAACGCCGAAAACAGTATTTTTACATCATAGCTATCGGTGAGAACTTTCTGACAGCGGTCTAGCTTTTCCAAAAAAAATAAAAAAATTATAATAGTCTTCACACCTAGCTCATGAGCAGATTATTTATTAAGGGAAGGTGGAATTTCACCTAGCTTATCAATTAAATTATGCACCACCTTCAAAAGTACTGATTTTAATTCACAAAATAACAATATTGAGCATCTTATGATGGCCGTTAAATATTAAATTCAGATTGTGAGTTAACGCCACGTGGCAGACTTGACATATCACGTTTCGTTGCCTTTTTTTTTTCAAAATTTGGGCCGATCCTGACCGCATTATTTAGCTAATTAATGGTTTAAATAGCATATAAATAAATAAAATAAATACATAATAAATAAATACATAATTTAAATTTATAATTTATAATTTATATAATAATAAAAGGGCCGATTGTGCAGGGCAAGAAGATATGCTCCACCGTCTAATAAATGAGTTTGACTCCCCTTATGTACGGTCGTATGTAAATAAATAAATAAATGAGGCATATTTTCATGCCCTTTTTTTAATGTAAATTATATTTACGCAGCCTTTTATTATATAATAATGTCGACCATAAAAATTAATACAGGAATTATTAAAATCATCTCATATTTAAGATTCAATATGGTAATTAGGAGTGTAAATGAGCCGAACACAAGCGTGCCCAGACTCAGCTGGTGTTCGGCTCGTTTATATTTCAAACTAAAAAAATTATGTTCATTTTGACAATCCTAATCGCGTAGCAAAAAGATGTTAAGGACTGTGCAAGATTTAAAAATTATTGTTTATATATTCATTGAAAGAGATGGTCGAAGGCTATTATAAGAGCCCCGACCATCCCTCATGCGCGCAGGAATTCGAGTACCACATTTTACATTTATGGGGAATTAAACCCCAGACCAGAGGGGATTTTCAACAGATAAGCAAATGCTTGACCAATTGATCTGAGTATGCGGCGCAGATATATATATATATATATATGATGAGTAGTATTTCGAGCCAAAACAAATCGATCACGAACGAACAAATCTATGTTTGTGTTCAACTTGTTAACTTAATGAAAAAATCGAACACGAGCTTCTTAATAAGTTGAACACAAGTTATTCATGAACGAGTCGTTTTGACCCCTCTAATGGTAATTAATTCTGTTCATTCTAAAAATTTAGTATATATATATATAAATTTTTAATGTGAATAAGGTATAAATATAATGATATATATAAATTTTTAATGTGAATAAGGTATAAATATAATGATATATATAAATGCATAAAAGTTATGTGGGGGTGCATGTAAAAATTTTCTGAATATCTAACTCCTAGAACTCCCGTCAACACGCATCATTCCAACTCATTCACACCATTCTTCGTTGACCTCAGACCTTGGCAAGCGTCTCTTTTGCCACGTTTCTAATCAAACAAGTTATCTCCACGTGTCACGCGGTGGCTAATCAAATACGGTGCAATTAAATCATCACCCTGTTCCCTCCCATCTCCTGTCATTCATGCTCTTTAACTCCCGAAAAACCATGGCCTCACCTTCTTCTCCTCGTTTTCTACCTCTTCCGTCCTCTGTCTGTTTTCCTCTGCAAAAATCCCAATACAGTCTGCGCTCGTCTTCATGCTGCAGTTGGCGGTAGTTGAAGCTTCGGAGGAGCAATGAATGCATTTACAGTCGGCGTCGGATTAATTGCAGAGTCGCCGTACAAAGAGACACAGATTGGTGTCAAGTGGTGGCGGAGAGATTATCTCCTCCCCATCGCTCGCCGGAGACTACTGCTCGGAGGCATTCGATGAAACCGCTCCTCGTTGGCACCGAGTCGCCGTACAAAGAGACACAGATTGGTGTCCAGTGGTGGCGGAGAGGTTATCTCCTCCCCATCGCTCGCCGGAGACTACTGTTCGGAGGCATTCGATGAAACCGCTCCTCGTTGGCACTCTTTCTCTTTTGGAAGCTTATCATGAGAGCTCTAGATCTTCTTCTTTTGCTGTTTGCGGTGATTAGGGTTGTGGAAGAGGCAGCGGCGGATGTCGTCGGAGAGAAGGAGATATTGTTGCAGTTTAAGGGGAATGTGACGGCGGATCCTCGCGGAGCGCTTGCATCGTGGGTAGATGGTGGGAATCCGTGCAGGGATTTCGCCGGAGTTACTTGCTCGGATGCGGGGTTCGTGGTGAAGATACTTATCCACGGATCCTCGCGGAGCGCTTGCATCGTGGGTAGATGGCGGGAATCCGTGCAGGGATTTCGCCGGAGTTACTTGTTCGGATGCGGGGTTCGTGGTGAAGATACTTATCCACGGGGCTGAGCTTAAGGGCACGCTGTCGTCCTCTGTTGCTGGACTAAGTGATCTTCAGATTCTCTCGCTATTCGGGAATCGTTTCTCCGGCGGTGTGCCGGTGGAGTATGGGGGGATTGAAACCCTAAGGAAGCTTAATCTCAGTCGTAATGAGCTCTCCGGTGGGATTCCGGCGTCACTCGGCAATATACCCTCGCTCCGTCTTCTGGATCTGGGCGGGAATTCCTTTTCCGGTGAGATTCCGGGCTCTTTGTTCAAGAACTGCTTCAGGACGAGATTCGTCTCTTTCGCACATAATCGCCTCTCGGGTTCGATTCCGACATCCATCGCAAACTGCTTCAATCTGGTCGGTTTCAACTTCTCGTTCAACAAACTTACGGGAGATTTTCCGCCGGAGATCTGCGCGCCTCCTGCAATCACATTCATTGCGCTGGGAAACAATTCTCTCTCAGGAACGGTTACGGATAAGATCTCATTCTGCCGGAGCTTGGAATTCTTCGATCTCGGAGGCAACTCGTTCTCCGGATCAGTGCCCTTTGATCTTCTTTCCCTCACAAACCTGAGTTACTTCAATGCTTCATTCAATCGCTTCCAAGGAATCATCCCGGAGATCGGTACCTGCAGCGATAAATTGAAGTACATTGATGTCTCCGGGAACGATCTAAGCGGAGCGATTGATCCCAGCATTGCCAATTGTGCTGGGCTGAGGTTCCTGGATTTAGGTTTTAATGAGCTAACCGGAAACATTCCGCATGAGATTGGATCGATCAAGTATTTATCAGTTCTCCGGCTGGGCAGCAACGCCATTACCGGAACAATCCCTTCTGAACTCGGAGAGATGGAGATGATCCAGGTTCTAGACTTGCACAATCTTCAGCTCTCAGGAGAAATTCCACCTTCCCTGACCCACTGCCAGTTCCTCCTCGAACTGTAAGCCCTGAACCCTGAACCAAAAAGAAATTCAAACCCTCAATATTCGAACTTCTCGTAGTTTTATCGCAGATTTCTCAATTCATTTTGTAGGGATGCATCAAGAAACAAACTACAGGGAGGAATCCCTGAGACGATTTCCAAAATGACCTTGTTGGAACACCTCGATCTTCATCACAACGAACTCAATGGCACCATTCCATCATCCCTCGGTCAACTGATCCGTCTTCAGTTCCTCGACCTCTCCCAGAACTTGCTCTCCGGATCCATCCCTCCTTCCCTCAGCAATCTATCCCTACTAACCCATTTCAATCTCTCCTACAATAATCTCAGCGGCGCCATTCCTTCTGCTCCATCAATCCAACAATTCGGCTCCTCTGCATTCTCCAACAACCCATTTCTCTGCGGTTCTCCCCTCAACATCCTCTGCGGCGGACACCGAAGAGCAAAAGTTCTGAGCGTTACTGTAATAATTGCCATTGTGGCGGCCGCCTTGATCCTTGCCGGAGTATGTGTGGTTGCAGTGATGAACCAAAGGGCTTACAGGAAGAAGAGTTTGGAAGAAGAGATGCTTGTTTCTGAGAGCACAGCTCCAGCTTCCACCAGTTCAAACATCATCATAGGAAAGCTCGTTCTTTTCAGCAAGAGCCTGCCGTCGAGGTACGAAGACTGGGAGGCTGGCACGAAGGCGCTGCTCGACAAGGACTGCCTGATTGGCGGAGGCTCCATCGGATCAGTCTACAAGGCGAGCTTCGAAGGCGGAGTAACCATTGCCGTGAAGAAGCTGGAGACGCTGGGAAAGATCAGAAACCAGGAAGAATTTGAGCAGGAAATGAGCCGACTTGGAGGTATGAGACATCCAAATCTGGTGGGTTTCCATGGATACTATTGGTCCTCCACAACGCAGCTGATTCTATCCGAATTCGTCCCCAATGGTAGCCTCCATCAACATCTCCATGATTCGAACTTCTCCAGCAGCAGCGGCGGCGGCCGAGGCCAGCTTTTTTGGTCCCGGAGATTCGATATAGCTCTCGGAACTGCGAGGGCTCTCGCCTATCTCCACCATGACTGCAAGCCACAAGTTCTGCATCTAAACATCAAATCCACCAACGTTTTGTTAGGCGAAGGTTATGAGCCTAAGCTGAGTGACTATGGGTTGATGAAGCTGCTGCCGATTCTTGGAAGCGGTGAGCTGACCAAGTTCCATACCGCCGTCGGCTACGTCGCGCCGGAATTGGCGTCACAGAGCTTAAGATACAGTGAGAAATGTGATGTTTATAGCTTTGGAATCATTCTTTTGGAGATTGTGACGGGGAGGAAGCCTGTGGAGAGCCCTGGAGCGACACAGGTGGTGCTGCTCCGTGATTTTGTACAGGGAGCTTTGGATGATGGAGCTGTTTCGGATTGCTTTGATAGGAGCCTGAGGAGATTTTCGGAGAGGGAAGTGATTCAGGTGCTCAAGTTGGGACTTTTTTGTGCCGACGATGCTCCGGCGAAGAGGCCGAGCATGGGGGAGGTGGTTCAGTTTCTGGAATCCATCAGGTCCGGCAACTCCTGATACTTGTGATGAGATAAGCAGACTCTGAAGTTGATCGGAGGCTTGCAGGAAGGCATTTTTTTTCTTAGAATTGGAGTGAAGTGGTTTTAACTTTAAAGATTCTTTTGTCAAATGTTTGTTTTGTTTTAACATTATTATTGCGATTTGTTTTTGTGGAAAAAAAAAATCATTTTTTTGTTGTAATAAAAGATGGCTCTTTGTTGTTTCACTTTCACCATTTTTTGCAGTTGCATAAAAAATGAATTTTGATGGTTGTATGTTTTCTATGATTAATAGCCTTATAGTTAAAATAAAATTAAGTGTTGAGAGTTTTTATGGATTGAATATGTGGTAGTTGCTTTGTTTTGAAATAAGATTTATTTTTATATTTAATGGCCCCAATACTAACAAAGGCTAATTTGGCTTTGTTAATGACTTAATTTCATTTGCATAAACATATACTTAATACATGCTTATGAGCATGCATTTTTATATGTTAATGTTCCACCTTTCTTATGAAAAGTTGTATTTTATTTTTTTAAAATTAAAATGGCAGCATTTTGATATGATTTAGATGGTAAAAATGTAATGATTAAAGTTGTTGTTAGGTTTGTAAATACATAAAGAATTGGGTGGTTATGCTTCTTATTATTTTTGTGCCACTCTATCAGTGCAAAAGGTGCATTTAATTCAGCCCTGGACTTAAATCTGAAGGCTTTTTAATGAGTTGTTGACCTGACAGATTTTACGTATTCCAAGCAATGACATCCCAACCAAGTATTCACCAAGCGGGATAAAATTAGTTTCATTATTTCATATTGGATCGCATCATTTATAATATTTTTGAACAATAAAATTTATGGTTGGGTCCATCCATTTTCACTAATTTTGGCTTTGAATTCTGTTAAAATTAATATAAAAAGAAAGATTTACATACACACCATACCGCTCCTGTTAATTTACATAAACCTATTCAGAAATCATCAAGTGATGAATTTAAACAGCAATGTTTTAGTTGCTCTATCTGCAATTATCCCTAAATTCTAATTTTTTTAAAAATTATTTTAATGATAAAATTTTAAAAAACTATAAATTTACGAGTCAAATATGTAAATACATAGAATTTGTGTGGTATGGATGTAAATATCCCTAAAAATACTAGTGCACGCCTCAAATGGTGGTGTTAGACATGTAAATACATGAGGTTGGGGTGGTATCTATGTATTTGTTCCTAAAAACTAAAATAACTTTTGAGTTGTAAATGCATAAGAATTGTGTGGTATGTATATAAATGCCACTTAGATAAAATGGAGGGTGCATGTTAACCTCACAGCATTTTCCTAACTAATGCTTAAGTCGAGGGAAGCTCAAGTAAACTATGCTACCTTCAAAATACCAAAAAAAGTGATAATTACATGCAGGGCACCATAAATATTGATATTTACAAATCAAGCACTAATGTCAATATTGATATTTACATGCCAACCACTCAAAACATTTAATACCACATCTTAGCCACCATTAAAGACAACCATTTTAACCTACTTTTTATTACAATCACCCTCCTAAACTCATTTTGGATGGTTAAAATGCTATATTTAAAATGAGATTAAAATATTATATTAAATGTTTTGGGTGCTTTTGTATAAATTCTATTTTTTAGATAATACAACGCATTTCAATAATTCAAACTCTTTCATATTTAAATATTAAAATATTAACTAAAAAAAACAATTTATAGCTAATTTAAATTTCAATTACTCAGCAATTTTGAAGTGTATTTCATTTACCTTAAAACCAAATATTAACAAAAAAAATAAAAATACATATAAATAAGATGTAAATGATCCATTTCACTCCCTTGCTGAGTCAGAAAATCAATCTTCACATTTTCTTAACAATAAGAATTATGAACCATTTAATGAATCATTATTTACAAATATGGTAGCAAACTATAAATATATATATAATATTCAAAAGATGCTAGCACTACAGTGTTCTTAAAAAAATACTAGGTGTTGTATATATCTTTACCTCGGAGGAAAGCTGAATTAGTTAATGTCTTGTGCAGAATATAATTGCAGCAGGCTTTTACAGCCAGCGAAGATGGGATGAGCGCAGTTTGACGGACTAAAGAAAATGCCGTAGAGCCACTCTACAAATTTCATTCCTGATTGTTCTCTCCTGATAATACAAGCAACCAGTTGAAACATAAGTTTGAAGTCAGTTTAAAATAGAGGGGCATTTACATACATACCATATAATTCTTATGTATTTACATATGTAACACCTAAAAACTCTTATTTACAAACGTATCACTCAAATCTTTAATATCAAAACAAAAAATTTCCCTATTACTATCATTTTAAAGGTGAAATACATCTTTTCATACACAAGTTTATGACACCAAAGTGTTAATAAGTGCAATTATCACATTTTGGGTGTTATATATGGAAATACATGAGAATTGTGTGGTGTGTATGTAAATTTCCCTAAAATAAAAAAGCAGAAACTAATCAGAGATTCGATGATATGTGCCAAATCTAATTAGAAAAAAAAAAAACAGCAAATAAATCACAAATGAGTTATCGACGGAATTGGTATCATCTGATTATTATTACCGTGAAAAATTGAGTGACATAAGATATCTTAATATATAAGATTTATAAAATAGATTTAACAAAGCCATATATATTTAGATGAAACCAAAACCAGAATTTTCACAGGATAATGTTTAATTTCAAGTTA